GACTTTACCTCCTTCATGTTTATATGGATGGAATTGGAAAATGTTCTTCTTAGCAAAGTATCTCAAGAATGGAAGAAAAAGTATCCAATGTATACAGCCCTATTTTGAAACTAATTCATAGCTTTCATAGGAATGTCATAACCTAATTATAGCCTTAGAATGTGGGATGGTGGGTGGGAGAGGGGAAGTGAGGGAGGTGAATGGGGGGAGGGAGGGTGATGGGTGGGGTCACCTCTATGGTTTATCTTACAAGGGTACAAGTGAATCTTTCTAAAAGCAGAGTATGAATGTCTTAACTCAATAACTAAGAAAATGACATGAAGGTTATGTTAACCAGTTTGATGAGAGTATTTCAAAATGTATATGAAAACAGCACACTGTACCCCATGTTTGCATTAATGTACACAGTTATGCTATAAGAAATAATGAAGGAAATTTGAATGGGAAAAAATTTTTAATTATCTTCTAAGAATTTTTTTCCAAATTGAGAAACAGCAATAAGCTCATAAACAAAGATCAGCAAACATAATAAAAGGCAAGTCACCATGAATTCAAGTCAGCAGAAATAGGAAACTATACAGATAGATCTTAAAGTATTACTGATGTTAAAATTATTAGAGAAGGTATACTATGAACAGCTATGTGCAAAATGTTTAAATAATGAAGGATAGAAATGGAAAGATAAACACACAACAATAAACTGCCAAGAACAGACAGCTTCCGAAAAATTATGTGGCCAAATGTATAAAACATTGGCAATATATTGCAATATTATTAATTTGTATAATGAAGTAGGAATTCAACTTAAAGAAAATAAAACTAAGGAAATAATAGAGAAGAGAAATAAATGAAATAAAAAATAAAATCAAGTAGACAGAATTGATAAAAGCCCCAAATTTGGGTGGCTCTTGTAGCTCAGTGGGTAGGGTGCTTGCCACATAGACCCATGCTGGCGGGTTCGAACCTGGCCCGGGCTTGCTAAACAATGACAGCTGCAACAACAACAAAAAAAATAGCCAGGCATTGTGGAGCCTGTAGTCCCAGCTACTTGGGAAGCTCAGGTAAAAGACTTGCTTAAGCCCAAGAGTTTGAGGTTGCTGTGAGCTATGATGCAATAGCACTCTACTGAGGATGACATAGTGAAACTCAGTCTCAAAAAAAAGCCCCAAATTTGTTCTTTGAAAAACCAAAACTTGAAAACCTAACCATTAATAGATAAATAAAGTAAAGTTATCATTCTGCTTCTCAGTTTCTGCATAATTAATCACTACCAAATTTAGTGGCTCAAAACAATAGTTGTTTTATTAACTCACATAGCTTTTGTCTGCCAAAAATGTGGGCAGGTCTCAACTGAGAAAAGATATTTGATAAAATTTAAAATTCAATGTCTACTCATGATTTAAAGGTTTTAGCAGCTGGAAATAAAAGGAAACATCTTTTATGATAATATTTTTTATGTCCTAGCTTGTCCAGTAAGGTAAGCAAAAGAAAAAATAAATGTAAAGATTGGAAAAGAAGAAATAAAACTGATTGGATTGTTCATGTAGAAAACTAAAAGGGTCTATTATATAATTCATAAGAAAATCTGTCCAGTTCTTTGGAAAAAGTCCATATCTAAAAATCATTTTATGTCTATATAAAAATATCAAAAGGAATAATATAAAATTAACAACAATAGCATCAAAATATGTAGTAAGTGTGAATAAAATTAACAAAAGAAGTGCAATACTTTTATAGAGAAAACTGTACAATCTTACTGAGGAATATTTAAAGAAGTTCTAAATAAATAGATGCAATTGGGAGGAGAAGAGGTTTAAGTACTGAGGGGGCCTGAAACATGGAGTGTGCAAATGAGCATTACTCTTTCAAAGGATTACAGTAGTGAGTTTTATGTTACATGAATTTCACCTCAATAAAATAAACAAATAAACAGGATCAGACTTTACCATATTGAACACAGGATATCTTCTCTAAGAGCTTTATTTAGCTTGACCTTTGTAATCCGTGACACTATATTAATTTTTTTTCCCTCAAGGAATATAAAGCAAAATTTTGTCTTTCAAATTTAAGTGATCACCAAAGTAGCTTTAAGGTTTCTCAAAATATTGATATTTTAATATTTTTGTCTGCCTACACACATATCACACACACTTTCAATAATAACCATAGTGTACACATATATTTCTCTATCTAATTGTGAATAGTCTTCCATTCCATTATTTTTAATGGCTTCATAGTATTCCCATAATATGAATGAGCCATACTTACTTCATCCTTAATGGACATTTATATTTCTTCCAAGTATTTACTAGTACCTTTATAAATAATGCTGCCACATATACCCTTGTATATAATCTTTTGCACATAATCATTCATTCAAATATATTTATTAATGTTTTATGCTAGGCACTGTAAACATGAGGAGTATAATAATTAACATGATAGACAAGGTATCTGCCCTCAGAGAGCTTGCAACTTAGTTGAGAGACAGAAGCGTAAACACATAAAAATAAATGAGCAAAATACTTTCAGAGGTATTATTGAGATTCTGCCAGGTTCTTCTTCAATCACTTCACAGAGAAATATGTCATTTGAAGTAATATAAATATGTGCTAATGTATTATGACATTAGTTTTTATTCACCATAATTTTCCCCCATGAGGATTTATCTCCAGAAAATCCATATAAAGCAGAGAATATGATCTGTCAGTAGTTCAATGTTCTTCCCTCTGCAGGTGATGGGAGTGGGAGAGAGAAGCAAGCAAGTGCTTGTTAATATGAATGTAGAGTACTCTGTGTTGTAATTGGGGCTGGTGATATTAAAAGCCTTGTAGTGGTTATTGAGGCAGAAGGAGAATGAGATTTTGACTGCCACATTTGTTCTGACAGCCTCATAGTGGTTTAAGAGTATGTGTGCAAAGGAAGATTACTATGCATTTCCCAAAGGCTTCTTTAGGTGACATTTGTCCAGAAATACAAATGTTTAGAAGACACACAGGAACATATTTGGCTCCCACATATTCATTGCATGTCTAAGTACATATTCACCACTACAATTTATCAAACATAGTGAAAGATTTGGCCCTTTAATTAGAGCGTAGATCTGGTATTTGTTTTTCTATCCCTCAGATACTTTGCTTAGGATAATGGTCTCCAGTTCCATCCAGGTTGCTGCAAACGACATTATTTCATTCCTTCTTATGGGTGAGTAGTACTGCATGGTATATTACATACAGGGTGTCTACCCTGTATATCACAGGCATAAAGACATGTAAAGTTCCTTGGAAATAAAGAAGGGAGATTATTGTATTTGGTACAGTGAACACTGTTCTGGTGATGGGCACACTTAAAGCCCTGACTTAAGCATTATAAAAGATATTCATGTAACAAAAACATTTGCACTCCCTTAATATTTTAAAAAAATTTTTTTTGGTTTTTTATTTTATTTATTTATTTTGGTTTTTTAATTTTATTTTGTTGCTTCTTTTTTTGTCGAGACAGAGTCCCACCCTGTGCCCCTGAGGAGAGTGCAGTGGCTTGGTAGTTCACTGCAACCTCCGACTCCTGGCTTGTGGGCATCCCGCTGCCTCAGCCTCCGGAGCCGCTGGGATTACAGGCGCTCGCCGCAGCGCCCGGCTGGGTTTTTCCATTTTTTTCATGAGTCGGGGTCTCACTTTCGCTCAGGCGAGTCTCGAACTCCTGAGCTCCAGTGATTCTCCCTCCTCAGCCTCCCACAGTGCTGGGATTACAGGTGTGAGCCACCGCGCCCAGCTTATCCTAATATTTTGAAATTTAAAAGAAACACTCAAAAATTTAGCTTTTGGCAAGTAAAGACACATTTTAGAGCAAAGACTTTTAAGTTGGATACTTCATTTTGTGCTGTCATTAAAATGCAATTACTGAAATCACCTAAATAGCTTGAACTATTTGGTATCTGCTCACATGTGAGCTAGTGGGCAAAAAGCATATGACTAGCTAGCTAAGTAATTGCTACTGTTCATAAAATAATATAAATTACTTACCTGGGTTTTCCATTGACATGAAAACAGTTTCTCCTGAGAATGGGAATAGGGTAAGCGTGTCTTCATAGACCATTTTGTGTTTGAAGGTATATCCAGAGAAGAACACAGAAAGGAAGTCAGTCTGTGCTCCAATGTTTAGAATGTACCAGTATGCCACCTCATGCAAACAAACTGACAACTGCAAGCTGTCAAAAACATAGCCATTGATACCTGCAAAATGATGGGGGAAAAGAAGTTTAGTAGTATCTAAATTTTATTATTTTGAGTTGTTATTTTCATTATATAATTAGGACTTATTATATGTTATGTCCATTACTTTACTCCTATGAAGAGATAGCATCATTTTCTCCCCCCAATGTGTAAATATTTAATATTTAATCAGCTTGGCTGCAATCCAAAAGTGAGGAGAGCATCACAGACCATCATGGTAAAGATAGATTTGGATGCTGTATGGGCTAGGCAAGCAGCTAGATGAGGAGAAAGGTGTTCACATGATCTCAAAGTATATCCCTTCAAACTTTTTATTAGTTGCAAGGGAGAAAATAGTAACTACAGAGGGGATAAAGCACGAAAAATTACATTTTGGAGTATAAAGTCACAAGCCTTTCTATGCACCAATAATAGTCAAGCTGAGAAGCAAATCAAAGACACAATACCCTTCACAGTAACTTCAAAAAAAATGAAATGCCTGGGAATATATCTAACAACAGACTTGAACGATCTCTACAAAGAGAATTATGAAACCCTGAGAAAAGAAATAGCAGAAGACATTAACAAATGGAAGAACATACCATGCTCTTGGCTGGGAAAATCAACATTATTAAAATGTCCATACTACTCAAAGCAATCTATAGATTTAAGAGGATCCCCATTAAAATACCAACATCATAATTTGAACAATTCAAAAAAAAGTTCTTCATTTTGTGTGGAACCAGAAAAACCCCATATGGCCAAGGCAATTCTTAGTAATAAAAACAAAGCCAGAGGTATCACTCTACTAGAATTCAGGTTACATTACAAGTCCACAGTAATCAAAATAGCATGGCACTAGCACAAAAATAAAGACATAAATCTATGGAACACAAAAGAAAACCCAGAGATGAAATCATATCGCCATCTGATCTTCAATAAAGCAAACAAAAGCATACACTGGGGAAAAGCAGTGCTGGGAGCACAGGATAACCACATGTAAAAGACTGACACTGGACTTGCACTTTTCACTACTTAAAAAAATTGACTCATGATGGATAAAAGATTTAAATATAAGACACAAAATGATAAAAAAAATCCTAGAAGAAAGTGTGGGAAAAACTTATGAAAACAGCCTGGGGAAAGATCTTATGAAGAAGACTTTAGTGGCCATGGCAATAACACCAAAAATTAACAAATGGGACTTAATTAAGCTGAAAAGCTTTTGCACAGCTAAGAACACAACAACTAAAGCAAAGAGACAACCTTTTAGAATGGAAAAAGATATTTTCACATTATGAATCTGACAAAGGGCTGATAACTACAATCTACAAAGAATCAAATTAATCGCCGGGCGCGGTGGCTCACGCCTGTAATCCCAGCACTGTGGGAGGCTGAGGAGGGAGAATCGCTAGAGCTCAGAAGTTCGAGACTCGCCTGAGCGAAAGTGAGACCCCGACTCATGAAAAAAATGGAAAAACCCAGCCGGGCGCCGCGGCGAGCACCTGTAATCCCAGCGGCTTC